TTTTTCATTCAAAAATTGAACAAAAAACCGCGGATACTTTTTTAAATGACCTAATATACATATAAAGGCGTTTATTGTTGTTCTAGAGCAAGCCTTCCAGAAACATGGAAAAGAAAAAATTGTTTTTGAGAACAGAATTTGCAATTTCGCGAGTCGATTTCAACCCTACATTGAATCTTTTTCAATCTCAAAAACATTAAATCTTATAAACCTGTTTTGATACTTGAACAATCAAATATGACCTCTTTTAATTATTACTTTCCACAGCTTCTATCTTAGAAAATTTCTTTTGTAAAACCTAAAAGTAGGAAATTTTCCGATAACTGCCTATTTGTTAGATTAGAATCTATTGTAAATCTTTAGAAATACGAAAATAATACAACAATAAATTAAACTGACACAAATAAAATATGAAGATAAACTGTATAAAGAGACAGAAAGATGACATATGAAGAATGAACAGATACGAAGATAATGAAGAAAAAAAAACAACTCCATATATCAATAATAATTAACGAGGCAGAGAGAAAGAGAAAGTCAATGAACGATTCTCTGAGATCGCCGCGCGAAGAATTTCGTGGTTACGAAGAAGATTCTCTCTGCTTCGCGACCTCGGAGGTTATCACGCGTGATAAAACTCAAAGTTTTTAGGCCAGATTTCTCGATAAGAGAACATACATGTATCGTATTCCCAGAAGACGTGCGTCCACAAACAGAAACCAGTTGTTTATACCGAACGCGCGATTACGTCGCTTACGTGAGCGGCAAACGCTGACTGGCTAACCGCGTCACTCAACACCGACAGACAAGATTATACACTTCGACGAATTCATCGACAGAGAATGTGCCAGGGATATGCAAAGACAGGGATATGCAATGAGGATGCCGATTATTGAGTAATAAAGACGTTTTTGGATGAAATTAGAAAACCGATGATCAATCGATAAAACGATTTCGAATTTCCTTCGTTAGTTTTCCTTTCGTTTATTTGTTTAATAGGAAATTTGGAATCCTATCTATATTATTAAGTAACAATAAAAAGAATTATTATTTTTCAACAAAAAATGACAAATTGTGATAATAAAATGAAAATGCTTTGTCTATACATTTTTATAGAAGATCCACGTAAGTGCGATTGAACTTCTCAATCACTTTAATCAGCTTAAAATTATGCGCACAAAATCTTGGTGCTTGTATAAGGACTGATTCTGATTCCTTTCTAGATTAATTAGAGACGTTTCCAAAATTTGAAACCAAATATATAAAATTGTATTATTTTTTTAACAAAAGGATTAAAATTGACGAATGCACACAAAAGACTTATTCTTTTTCCATACTCCAAAACTAAATTCCTTGCACAGTTCGTCTTTTATCTTTTTCTCTTCAACATGTAAAAGAAGAAGATAAACCGTGCAAGAGATTCACTCCTAAAGTACAGAAAAAGGACAAGCCTGATATCTTGATGCCCACATAGGACGTAGCCCTGATTCTTTTCTAGATTAGTCAGAGGCGTCTCTGAAATTTCAAACCAAACGATGAAAATTCGCGAGGATGAAATCTCATCCGGCGATGCCGCGAGATCGCGAGCAGTGTAGCCGTGGCAAAGATAACACTCGCGACTAGCGACTCGACTCGACCACGAGAGTGTCGGACGGCGCACGTTTTTTTCGACGTACCTGCGGACGCTCTTTTTCTTGCCTTCAGACCACGAGAGATGACGAGAAGAAACCCGTCGTCGAAACCCGTCTTCCTCATCCGTCGCTGCGACGGCGACGGCGGCGGCGACGGCGACGGCGACGGCGAGGACGAGGGACAGACGTGGATCCGGTGGATCCCGAGCGCGGAGAGGGTCGTCGCCGGAGCAAAGTCGCGGCGTGTAACGGGTTAGCCCGATGCACGGCATGACATGACATGCGTGTCGCTCACGGTACGGCGCGTCTGACGTGGCGTGCGTGCGGAAGTATATCGATCAGCTGACGGTCGGGCGGATACTGGGCCGCTTCGCGGAATTCACCATATTGTTGCGTCGGCACGCATGCGCCGAGCCCTCGTCCCTTCGTTCTGTCACTCTCCTTCTTCCTCCCTCTCCCTCTTTTCTTCCCTTACATTCTTCCTTCTCCCTCACCCCTTCGTCCCTCCCCCCTCCCGTCTATCCCGCGACGATACGTACGGAATGATTCAGCAGGTACCAGCGATGTAGTTCCGAAACGTGTTACGAGGGGATGAGAGAGAGGGGGGAGGGAGAGACCAAAATATAATCTACGATGGACTTACGTGTGTAACGTTTATCGATATGGAAAACGCGATTTTAGACAACTAAAAGAGACATTTTGGAATAAACGGAAATCTTCACAGAGAGATTCCCGTGTTTTAAAAGTTACTTTTGACGGTAGAACGAGCGGAAGGAATTTTGTTTTACGATCGAGAGCAAAATAAAGACTCGCTTCTCGTACACTGTTACGTTCATAATGTCAAATTATACTCGATTACAGTTGGTTTTAATCATTTCTATAGATCGCCACTATTCTGATAGTCAATAATTTAAAACAATGGAGTTTAACGATTTGATTAAAAAAATTTATTTTTTCCTCAAATTTATTTACTAAATGCGTTAATATGGATTATTTACTTTGAAATTTTATTCACCACAGGAACGAATTGATTTATATTTTTGACGCAGATAAAAGTTCAAAACAACAAAATATTGTTTAACTAAAGAGATTGGGTTCCTTTGAGGTATTTCTTACGACACAGTCGGTTCTTATATTTAAGACTATTCTTAAATAAGTCTTAAGATATCACGGGCCAATCATGGAACTATTAGCATCTCAAGACAGTACTTAAGACGGTCCTAAAGTAAGAACGAACTATGAATACTAGCTATCACGGTATTTTCACGATTTTTGCGAACATCCAGTTACAATTCTCTTTACTCAACCATCCTCTTCCCATTCGCTCTTTCCATTTCCCAGGCGAGCACATCCCGGACTTTTTCATTCATACGTCGCTCCTCAATATGCTAATAGTTCAATCCTACTTCGCCATACCGTCTAAATTACATTATCGTATTACATATAAATGTGTCTCCTCTCTCTCTCTCTCTCTCTCTCTCTTTCTCTTTCTCGGTTGCCTCGCATCCGCCGTCCTTCAATCCCCGATTTTACAATAGCAAGTCCCATCGCGTAACCCGCTCGTACGATTGTGCCCAAACGACTTTCTCCGATTTCTACACGTTTCCTCATTTCCCATTTTCATCGGCCCCAGTAACACTCGCAACTCTAGGAAACCCAGCGATAGCCACACAAAAACTGTATGTACGTATTTTAGCGTCACGCGAGTAGTCACGCGGTGAAATATATGTATATACGAAACACACAGGACAATAGATCGCCACAATCACTTCTCTATACTCGCGACCCGCTAACAATAATTATACACGAAAATACGAGAAAACGTGTCGTTGAATATTGATCCGTTCATCCTGGAGGACGTTTCATTTGTAGGCTGCGTCAAGGCTGCGGCTATCGAAGAGTTCGCTTAATGATGTGCGGACTGATTAATATTCGACAAATACGTGCGATAATCCGTAAAGTCCGCCATCGATTTCCTTCCGTTCGCGTACAAATTACGTCCGTCCGTTTTCCATTAGCGCACGCTCAGCCGAGACATTAACGAACCGCAACGAACGCGAAAGAATTACTTTTTCGAGCGACGATAAGCGGCGAGATAAGCGGAATAATAGAAAGCTGGAACACAATGTTAAATGGCGAAAAAATCTGCGGCACCTAACCGAGTCTTCTTTTTTTTTTTCTTCCTGAGGAAAAATCGATCCCGATGTGACACGGGATACATGTATATGTATTCGCGGAATAAAAATTGACGTTGCAATTACGCGTACGTTGTCGAGAATGGGATCAAGTTCGCGTTCGATAGAGATGCCAGAACGAACCGATGGGCAGCTCGTGCTGGAACACGTTAAATAATTACTGGTATCAGTGATAGCGCGTAATTGTCGGTTATCGCAATATAGCGGATAGCACGCAGTTAAATAATGATCGGCCATTATTGTAGCAATTCGAGAAAGACGAGACGCCGTATTTCCATCCGCCGTACCGGAGTCGATCGGGAGAGAGACGGTGAAATAAAGACGTGAAATAAAATATAATGGAGACAGAGAGAAAGAGAAAGGACGTAGAACGAGAGTGAGAGGGATGTACTGCGATTTCACGGCTGAGACGCGCGAGAGGATCCGCAGTCACGTGAGTCTTCGTGATTCTCCCTGTATCTCTCTTCTCTCCTCGTCTTTTCTCTCTTCGATCCGAGGGGAAAAAGAAACGGAAAGCTTTATTTCACTCTCTCTCGTGTCGAAACTGGTTATTCACGTCAGACGTTACAGCGACTTACATTAATCCCGCGCTGTAACGGTTGGCATTAATTGAATTCTCCAGAAAAGGCACAAGGAAAATTTAATGTCTGGGAAAACCGCGTCTCAAAGCGACATAATATATTTACCTCACGTATAATTACCTCATCTTGCAAAATATGAAATGTAATTCGCCACAAACAAGAGAGAGAGAGAGAGAGAGAGATGCTCACCACGGCCGTCAATATTATTCGCGTTTTCACGCGTCGCAACAAAAACTATGGTTGGCTATTATCGTAAGAGCAGGTATCGACACTAGCTATACTCTCTATGATTAAATAATAGTATTAAACGGACGGAACACAGCGATCACGCGCGAAAATATGCAATTTTAATGACGCATCATTTCAGTTTCATTAGCCGCCCAGGTGATATAATTGAAAGCGTCATGCGGTATACCTTTCACTGCAGTTAGAGAATCGTCGCGCATTTCCGATACTTGATTATCATCAAGTAACCTCCCGAGGCTCGCGCAGGATATAAATAGCGAATCTAATTGAATGAAAACGGCACGAAGGGAATAATTGACTCTAGTAAGGCAATCGCGAATTTCCTCGTCTTCGCTCCTCCCCGACTCATTCGAATGCGGTGCGGGTGCGAGGATCGAGCGACGGATATCTTATCCTTACGCGATCGGGTAAGGAAGCATATTTTGAATGCACGAATTTCGCACGGCGACGATGGAAAAGCGAAGAAACCGGAGAGGATTGTACGACGTATTATCCTAACGCCAACCCGGTCTTTCCCGGAATACGAAGAACAATGCCGATCTTATCGGAGATCCTTGTACACGAATAGAGAGTGCGGGACTGGTTTCGTAATTAAGTACTAAAAAAAAAGGATCCTAATAACATTATAATTCAGACCTGTCCAATTTTAGCTCCGGAGAGCTTGGGAGACCCAAAAGATTCAATGCGAATAAGATTTCAGAGACTGCGAAGTGTTGATAAGCGACGCTCAGACTTTACAGTCCCCGAAATCTTATCCACATTGATTTTTTTTTTTTTGCATCGATGGCTTTGCGTTTTGGCACCGGAAGTAAAATTGGACAGAGCTGTTATAATTATTAGCGCAACTTGCAAAATATTGACTTGCTACCCTTGAAATTTATGCGATCTCGCTGATATGAATGTATCGATCCGTTGCAACGTAATTTATATGCTATAGAAGATAATACACTCAGAAAAATGTCTGATTGAATTAATTCTGATTAAAAATGGAACAAACAAAATGAATAAAAATTTTCTAATTAAAATAATCGAAATTCTTGATATAATGAAAATCTTTTGGTTCGTCCACTTTCAATCATTTTTCTCAGTGCATTATTGTGATAAATTAATTATAATCTATCGCACCGACACAGAAGACTCGATATTGTCTGGCTCTAACTTCATCGAGTTCTCTCAAGTTTGCGAATCGAGTAATTCTCAGAGTAAAAACGATTTTATCAACTCACCTTGACACGGAGGTAAATTACTCTACGATCAACGCCAGCTTTCCACCCGTCTGAAACACAAAACACGACAAAGTTACGACCGGTTTGCCACAATTAACGACGTGAGCTCAGCAAGACGAGACTGTCCGCCAAACTGTCGTTTTTGGAGGAGACACGCGCATGTATTGTGGAACTTTCTAAGCGAAAATTGCGAAACACTCCGCATACACTCGCGGTATACAAAACATGTCGAGAGACGGACGTTTATTTTCATTCCAATAACGCGCTGAATGTTATTGACTTGAACGTACTTTGTTCGCAAGGCGTTTAACTCCTAATAGCCTTACGTACAAAATATTATTTACAGTTCTAAGAATTGAGAAACGGGTCTTAATTGTCCATAAAGAATCGCAAATTCACGGCGCGAAAAGGACAAAAATCGTAAAGACATAAATCGTAAAGAGTACCGTGTCGAATTTATGAATAATGCGTCACTTAGTCGCGAGAAAGACGGAAACTTGTAGAATCCTCGTGATGTGTCTCGTGCGAGTTTTTTTTTTTCTCCGAGACGGACGAAGCCACCCCGGCGCCGAAACAACGGTATGTCTATACAGACGAGACTAACTACAATGGCGTGCGATAATGAAATAACTTAATTTCGCTCCGGCAAACACATAGATCAACCGAGAGGGGTCGGCAGTGACAGTGCTGACTGCCGGTAGTGGTGGTGGTGATGGTGGTGGTGGCTGAAAGCGAGCGAATCCGATGCAAAATACGCGCTCGAGCAACGAAAAGTGTTGAGGCTCAAAGTACACTGTAATCCACTTTGTGAGTTTGCGATTTGCTGCTCTACGACGTATCCTTTTCAACCGAATCGCAAGCGAGCCGAGTCGATCGATTTAAGTACTCTCGAGAACAATCGAAATGCAAGAAAAATGAACGGAAGAAAAACCAATCCAATCATCTTCCTAATAAGTCGACGATTTCGAAGTATTGTAAAAAAAAAATATGTATTTGCGAAATTCTACATTGATTAGGCTAAAGCTAGAAAGATTAGTTAGGTACAGAAAATACAAAATTACTCTAAACTCTCAAACGATAAGGCTTGATTAAGAAATAAAATAATTCAATAAAAATGCTATCCAAAAATGATATGGCTACCATATATAAAATACCATATATTAAATAGGAGAGTCTTCGTGCAAGAAGGAATCAAAGAAGATTCGAGAAATAGGACTTTAGATCGTCCTAAAAATAGTATACTTAAAGTGAAAAATTAAGGTATTAGATATTATTTTAAAGCTAATCCCATTTTACGTTCAACTAATATGGTGTATAAAAAAATTGGTCAAAAAAAAAACGATGGAAATTCGATGGTTTTATCAAATTGAGAGATCTCAGATAATAAAACAGAATACAATGTGAAACATCAAGTGCGTTCATAGTGGCGTGCGGTGGTCGTGTTGAACAACGAACGATTGTAAAGCTGATTGTAAAAAGATCTTACATAGAAGAGGTTCAGGACAACCGAGAAATAGACACAAAATCCGAATAGTTATCCAAAGGTCGCGTCACACACGGAGGAGAGATGATCGACGACGACGGCGACCAAGTTCGACGTGGACGAGGACGAGGATGATGAAGAACGACGAGCACTTCGCACCGCAGCAGACCGATGTTCTCCACTTGGTACGTCCACGTTCATTTGTGGGTCTCGATGGCCTCGAACTGGTCTCTTATCCCTGGTATCGCCCAATCAAAAAACCGGCAGCGTACCGCTAGACGATTGGTCGGGCACGACCACCGTGAAGACTGCAATTGGTCAACTGGCTCGTGTCACCCATGGTTACCGTTTGCATCAACAATATCTACGGTCGATATTATGCTACTTGCTATACCTGGGCCCCGTATATGTTCTCCTCCACGTTCAGCGGGCTGCACACAAGTTGCGATTAACACCTACATAACCCCCGGGAGGGGGCAGAATTCTCGAGGGCAACCGCTTTTCTTCCACCACCGATCTCCCCTGTCGTTCTACCAGCGATCCCTACCCTTCGCGACCAGCCGAAGAGCTTCGAGAATGTTGAAGGCGACCACCACAATCGACTAAGGGTTGCGAAAACTCGGTACCACTGCACCTCAACATCCCGCGATGATTATTTTCCAAGTTAGCTCTCGCAATCTCCTTATCACGGGACTGTCTTAGGTACCACGACGCGTAACTTGCGATAGAGGAATGTATTTACATAAGGATAATCTTGGCAATTAAGTCGGAGCGACAGGCTAAGACTTGGAGGATCTACCGGTACCGCTGAATCCTATTTTCATAAAGGAAATCCTCCGCTTAGAGCGTTCGTTGTACCACAGACTTGCGCTTTGTATCAAAGACTTACATTAAGGATATATATCCTTTGTACGTGAGCATATGTCGATCTTATCTCCACCCTCGAATAATTCCTCTGACAAACTATGAAAAACCAATAGCTATTTACAATCCATGAAAGACATTTCTAATTCGAATAATAATTAAACAAATATTGTTAATTAAATCGAAATAAAGTTGAAAGATTGTTCGATAATAAAAAGCCGATATAACATTCGTAACGTGTATACGTAAATCCACGTTTTCATGAAAATGGGGAATATATTTTCGCCATCGTCGTGTACCAGTTTCCATCTCGTATCATTTTGCACGTATATATGGAATCTCAGCTCCGAAGTGTCATACAAACGGCTTCGTCTTCGAAGTCTAATTGCCACTTTAGCGATTGTTCGGTTAATGGTATTAGCTTCGGCTCTGTCCTGGCTACGTCCCAGAATTCACTGTCAGCGTTTCGAATATCGTTCTGTCTTATTTTGAATTAAGCCGTGCAATGGAGATACAATGACCGCTGTTAACGTTAATTGCTAATTTCGCAACGCCATGGCCACAAGCGCAAGTATAAATATCCAATTTCTCATAACCGAGCGCGAAATACCATTCGGCGTGCATGTGCTTCCATCCCGCTATTGAGTAAATTTAGCAACCAATAATATTATAGTCCAACTACGCTAATTATACCATAAGTTGTGATACCATATCGTTTTCATCCTCACAATATTATTTATTAATCATTTGTTAGAGAAACTTTTAACCGTAATCGATATTCACGGATCCAGTGGACATCTTCCTCAACTCCGTTGTAAAAAATTATTTATAACAAATGTCTTCCACGATCTTATATAATTGTAAATTGCGTAATTTTATTCCTCGCATTTTGGCCTTCAAAATGAAAAAAAAACGTTGAATTATGTTAATTTTAAGCAAAAATACAGTACACGGACCGGTAAATATTAAGCAAATTTTCGAACAAATATCGATTGGGATTAAACTGAATGGACTACAAGCAGAACAAATCATGTTTTACAAATAAATCGTTTAATAATAAATTAACTCGAATCGCTGATTCTCTGTATAAAAACATGAGACGATACGGAATCTGAAGACGTCGTTTATTGATCCAAAGATTGAATGCAGAATGAAACAGATTAGACGCTGCTTCACCGTCGTCTCGGATCGACGAACATTTCTCACGCGGATCATCGATGTGTCTTCACGCCATCGAAATCCTGACGACTCGAAGTACGCGGTTATCGAGCACGATCCGCGGTATTATTCGCGACTTTGGAGAGGAACCAGAATGCTCGAGGCGAGAGCGGAGGGTCACGTCCCCGTTTGACGTTCGATTATTCGCGTTATCGATCCCTCGGACCTTCTCGTGTACTCGATTCCTGCACGACGAAATGAGTGTGGCTGTGAAAGACATCCAGCATAGTGGTTTTTCCGTAAACGTGATGCTATATGTCACGATCCGTCGCAAACTCATAAATTTGAAATCCACCTCAAAATATCTGAACGCAAAAGTCAGTATTATATTCTTCCAGGAGTCCGTTGAATGATTAATATTCGGCCAAAAAAAGATTTTTAATAACAATCGTCATGAAATAATGTAGATCATTTCAACACTCTAAAAAAATCTGTGTGGATTATTTAACACCTGTGATGTGAATTTTACACCCATGCGATGTTGAATTCACACCAGAGGTGTTAAATCCACACCGATATTTTTTAGAGTGTTGAAATGTTCTCCTCAGTCCTATTGCTCGTAGCTGAGCGCGATGACTTCTCTCATGTGCCTGTGATACGCACACTGGTTGTATGAGACTTACAGTTTAACGACGATTTCAAACGAAATTTTGTCAGAAAGAAGTGCTCTTGGCAAAGATAGACTGAAAGAAAAGATTGGCTGAACGACATAGCATTTTTAATTGGTTGCATCAGAAAATATTATGCTATACTTTACCATCTAATTTTCTGCAGCAGCTAATCTTTTCTTTCAATGTACTCTCGGTGAGCTTTAGAGTGCATAAGGCGTACCTTCTCACCGTGTTGGTATTAATATTAATATGAACTTGATGTGGATTCCAAATCCCTGATGTTTATATAACACCATCGTGATGTGGTTTTAAAACCTTATAGTGTTAAATCCACATCATATTGTTAATATTAACATCAACGTCAACCAACATAGTGTGGATTTTAAATCTCTGATGTTTATATCAACATCATGATTTGAATTTAAAACCCATGATGTTAAATCCATATCACATTGGTATTTATATTAACACAATGAGAATTATGTAGATGTTGCTATTTTTTTAGAATGAAGCTGTCAAAATCAAGATTGTGTAATATTTATACGAAATCGAAGTTCAACTTATAAACACAGCAAACATTACAACAGGAATATGACGAATGAATCGTGAAAAAAATAAATAAATATTCGTTTCTAGCAATCAATACCGTAAAATCGATACCGAAATGCGAAAACGGCACACGATCCAGTGGAAGAAGGGCGACGTGTGATAAATAATTCAGAAATTAGATAATATCGTGCACGTTGCTCGTTCCATGGAAACTGGTTCGATTGGTTCGCCTTGTTTTTTAAGAGGAAACCGTATTACCCGACACGCCAACCTTGTTGTCCTGTACAATGCGAACGAGTTCGCCAATGCCACTTGTCAATTAAAC